TTTCCAACAGTGGATTCACAGACAAAGGGGGGCAATTTTTCGCAATGCAATGTTTTTCAATACAGCAATGATGATGAGCTTTGTGGAAATGTTCCAAATGTTTTCAAATTCCCTGACTCTGCGATGGACAATGAAGATGACACGCATTTGCAAATATGGGGTCTACCTTGGGGACCCGAAGAATTCTTGCGCATGGCAGTCCAGGCTGGTCATCCTGCCAGCCTGCAGTCATTTCTTCCGGAGCGGCTGTTTTTGTGCATTTCGAAAGCCATGACCATGACGTCAGCAGACAGGATGCAGCACAGGGCGCAGACTTTGAAACATTGGTTGAGACGCTCTTTGGAACTGAAGACCGAGGAGCAGAGTTTGCACGCAAAATTGCATAGCGATGTGGCTAAGGTTTTGAAAGGAAAGCGCATCCTTCTCTGGGGGGAAATGTTAGCTGCTATTGGCTATGAGGACATGGGTGTTGTTGAAGAATTTAAAACTGGGTCAAGCTTGGTGGGGGCAACTGAGATAACTGGGTTGTGGCCAAAGAAGTTCACCCCATCGAGCTTGACGACCTCAGACCTGCATGCGATGGCTTCGGAGCAGAGGAAGACTATCAGCTACAAGCAGGTGGTGTTCTTCGAGGAGGACATTGCTCGAGCGGTTTGGCAACAGACTATGGACGAGGTTGCCAAGGGTGAAATTGAAGGGCCTTTCGAGCTTGGTGATGTCCCATCCCACTATCCTTTGAGTAAGCGTTTTGGCGTACGACAAGGGGGCAAAATCAGGTGTGTGGATGACTTCAGTGGGTCTGGAGTGAATGCTGCTGTGCAGTCTAGTGAGAGCCCTCGCCCTCACACGCTGGACGTTGTAGGTGGGATGGTCATGGCTGCGATGGCACAACTACGACAGGAGACGCCATGGGTGGCACGAAGCTTCGATTTGAAGATTGCGTATCGACAGTGCGCAGTCCGCCCAGACTCTCAGCCCTTCGCGTACATTGTTGTTGGTGACCCGACATCAAAGAGCTTGCGTGCCTTCAGGATGAAAGCGCTGCCATTTGGTAGCGTGAAATCAGTTCACTCTTTTCTGAGAGTAGCCCATAGCATATGGGCCATCTTGACATCAATGTTTTTGATTTTCAATACCAATTACTTCGATGACTTTGTGGTGGTGGCTGATAGATTGGAAGCATCCGGTGTTGAGCACACTATCAAGGCCACCTTTCGCATGTTGGGGTGGTTGTTCGCTGAAGATGGAGCGAAGGCTCCCCCTTTCCAGCCTACAGTCAGTGCACTTGGCGTTACAATTGATGTCTCAGATATGCATCGGGGACAAGTGACTGTGGACAACACGGAGAAACGAATCAATGAACTGAGCCAGACTATTTCACAGATTTTGGACAATGGGAAGCTGCAGAAACTGGAGGCCTTGAGATTACGTGGCAGGATGCAATTCGCTGCCGGTCAAATTTTTGGCCGCATTGCAAGGCGATGCTTGGGCCTAGTCACACAACATGCTTACGCTGCGGACAGCCCTTTGCTTTCAGATGCAGCGACAGCGTCATTGAGGAGGTTTCTCAGTCTCCTGTCCCTGAAGATACCCCGAACTTTGTCTCTTCAGTGTGACGCCACCTGGTTTCTCTTTACAGATGCATCTTTTGACCCTAATGAAGGGACACCAATTGCTGGAGTTGGTGCAGTCCTTGTTGATTCTGATGGGAGGAAGCAGCGTTTCTTCTCAGAACAAATCCCTGGTGAAATATTGAAAGAACTGAACGTTTCGGAGCGTGATAAGTTGATTTTCGAATGTGAATTCTTGTCAATTTTTCTGGCAATGTTAGTTTGGAAAGACATCTTGAAGCAATGCAAAGTGGTTATCCATACGGACAACGATGCAGTTCGAGATTGCTTCATATCATGCCATTCAAGCAGTGTCAATGTGACCCCCATTCTTGAAGCTTGCATCAACTTAGAGTTTGAGATGGCTTGGAATGCATGGATAACGAGAGTGCCCACCGAGTCCAATGTGGCGGACGACCCATCTCGTTTTCAAGTCCAACAGCTTTTGACTGAAGGTTGCAAACTTGATGTTGTTGACATCTCAGCTTGTTGGGCGTGCCTGATCGGTATGGTGAAGAGGGGAGGCGAACGACCAGCACGGCCAACCCCTTTGGAAAAAGGCACTCCTGCAATGCGAGGGTCGTCAGGTTGAGACTTAATGCAGCAGACCAACGGGTAAGCAAACTAAGTGTCAGCATGATGTGATGAACTTTGTGAATCAACCGAGCTTTGGATCAAGTGGATCTACATGCACTGTGCAATTCAACATGTTTTCTTGTGACAATGGTCCTCATGACAATGGTCTTATTTTCATGTACAAACATGTTTCTTTGTAAAAATTTCGCAGCCCGCCCTCAGCCACCCTAAATGGGGTTGGTTGGGGGCCAAACCCAAAGCCTGGCGAACGACCAGCACGGCCAACCCCTTTGGAAAAAGGCACTCCTGCAATGCGAGGGTCGTCAGGTTGAGACTTAAATACTTGTTTTTGCAGATGGCACAGCGTGAGGCATATGAAGGCCCAGCTTTTCGAATGTTTGATCACATCGAACAAATCTCTCAAGACAAACCCGACTGCAGGTTCGGGTCGATGCTAGTTATTTTTGGCTCGAAACTGCAGCAAACATCCAATACTTCGGCTTCTTTTTGAACATCATTTGGTTTCATGGCCAGTGAAGTAGCAAAGTTGACGGCTGAGGCTTTGCGAAGTCCCGACTGTGCATTCTCAGCAACGAAGGCGACAAAGGCCGCATGGGACGCAGCATCTGTGGCATCGACTGCAGCATCGGCTGGAGCAACGCTTGCAGCCCTGGCAATGCAAGCTACGGAATTGACAGTCCAGAGCTTTACTACTGCAGGCCAAGCCTTGACTGCTGTTCAATCACAAGCCATGAAAACAGTGGGGCAGGCTAGTGGAAGCGGTGGCGCTGCTGAGCTGAAGGTTATGGGTGGGGTTGTCATTATTTGTGCCGGACTATGGGATGTTGTGTGGGGTATCGAGGGCCTTGTGGCTGGGCACGGCCACCAGAACATGATGACCAAGATCAAGGAGGGCTGTGATAAACTCCTAGCTGTGCTCAAGAAGGGTTGTGATGACCAAAGAATGTCTGGCGAGGCAAAAGCGATTCAAGCAGAGGTTGATAGCATCCGCAGCTGGATCAGGGTTCACAATGGCTCCCAGGGCGGTGCCAGGATTACAGGCGGAGTTGCTGGCATCACATCAGGGATTCTTCTGCTGTTAGCACCCGTAACTTGGGGAGCAACCCTGATCCCTGCCGCTGTGACAGGCGGCATTGCCGCCACAACCACCACAACCAGTGCGGTGGCGAAGGGCTTCGTGGATGCTGACCATGCCAAGCAGTTGGAAGAACGACTTGCAGCTTTGCAAAAGTCTTTGGACAGCATCTTCCGCAAGGAAGCCGCTGGAAATCCGAGCCTCGCGCAAGAATGTCCCAACATCTGCAAGATTAAAGCCAACCGGATGACGCTGGCCTACACCATGACCAAGGGCAAAGGCATGCCAAGGTTTGGGGATCCACCCAGAGGGGATACAGATGCAATCAAGAAGACACGCTTCCCTCGCTGGTATCGTGCTTCCCTGATCATTGATGATTGTCACCGCTGCACAACCCCGTGGTACGACAACTACGCAGGCCTGGAGAAGGAGATGGTGCAGCTGGATCGAGGCCACATTGTTCCTGCCAAGCTCGGGCGCTCCGGGAGCTTCGTCAATCTTTTTGCTCAGAACCGGAAGCAGAACCGCGGCGCTTGGAGGAGGGAAGAGGAAAAAATGGTCAATCTCATTTGCGAGGCACGCGAAGGGGCAAAGATCGAATGGAGCATTGACTTGGTTAGAGGAGAATCTCATTACTTGGTCTGTCGATTACTTCAAAGGCTTGTTCTGCTGATTCTATTATGTGCTGGGCCGCTTCTCAGAGCCTGCTGGCCGACTTGCTTCGAGTTCTACAACCAAAGTTGTGTCATGATGGACTCTTGGGTGACTCTTGGGTGACCAGTATTCAATGATTTCGATGTGTAGAAGTGTAGATAGGCACTGTTGGATGTTTCGAGCACAGCTGATTTTGCTTTATTTCCCTCCACCACGGAGATGGGAGTTTTTTGCCAAAGAATTCACAGATCAGCTTGTCAGATTTGTTTGGCGGGTTGCCTGGATGCTTCATAGTCAGCTGCGTGCCTGCAGTTTCTTTATGGGTTGCCAGGGTTGCATGAGGTCTCCCATTCTGTGCAGGGTTCTTTCGCATTTTTCGCCTTCCAAGAAGGTTTTTGGGTGCTTCAGTAGTATCCGATGCAGCTGCAGATTATTATCGTAACTGCCTGCCTTGAAAAGGTGCTTAAACCCATTGGCAGCGAGTCCAAAATGACCAGTGGTTGCGTTTGGTTGTGACCACAGTGGCAATTAGCAGAGCTCGCTTCGTGCAAGTGCCCATGTTCCCGCGGCATTGTTGCCTGCGCAGGAGCACAGCTCTGTGCAAAACGCTTTCCGGACGGTAGTTTGGATGGTTTACAGGCTCTGCGGCAAGAGGCTCTCTACTGGAAGCCTGGAAAAAAGACATTTGCGGCAACTGGCTGTGGATTTCTGACACGAGACTGCACCTTGGAAACTACTACCAATAATACTAATAACACCCGCAACAATTCGATCTTTTGCATAAATGGAACCCATGCTCTGCAGAAGCACGAGAGATTTGTTATGCAGCTGCAGTCTTTGTGCAGAATGCAATCGCCAAATGATCCATATGCTGCAGCCACCAAAGTTCAAAGTAAACCTCGAAGTGGACGACCAGAGCATAAGCAGATTGGGGCGATTGCCAGTGCCTTGATCTTGGGAATCACTCTCCTTTTCCGCAACAAACAACTAACAAAGGTAGGCCGAGTCTTCCACATGGAGGTTCAACAGATTTCAACAGCAGGTACAGGGTCCCTGTATAGTCCTCAGAGCACCTTTGAAATGCCATGGACTTGGAGCAGGTCTGCCCCTCAGTTCTGCGTTCCTCTCCAGCGAAAGAAGGCGAGCTAAGCGCAGCTTCGAAGCACTGAGGAAGCACCACTTGAAGAGCGAGTGGGGCAGATCGAGGTGCCTGCAGATCCAGCACCCAACACCCACCAATCATCAAACATCATCAAACAACCAACTGTGATGGTGAAATGATTGATTAAACATGATGTGAAAATATGTGAAACATGACCCGAAACATGATTTGAAACACATTTTCCATGACTTTCTCCACATTCCCTGGTGCCAGATAGAGCTTCAGCGAGCTTTGGAGGAAGTCGAGGCCGTTGCGGCACCTGACAAAGCCATGGAGCAGATTTGGTAATGGATAGAACCCCCCAATAACAACCATTGGTCAATGATGACTACTGACTGACCATTAATAATCAATGGTGATTCAATGGTTATTATTGGCGGGTTGCTAACCATTAATAAATAGACAAAACTCACATAAACCAGCCATTTTTAATGATGATTTCTTGATTAGAACAATCAGCAATCCAGGCAATCCACTAATATCACCAAAGTTTCCCTTGGGACCTCGAGATCCAAGATGATCCAAGCCCGGCTCACGGCTTGAGGCATGTTCAGTCCTTGTGCTGTCGCTGGATGGCGTCAGCCTTGGAACGGCTTCAGGCTCCGCAGGCCAGCAGATGCTGGACATGTCTTGACGACCTGGTTGGTACTGACGGTACTGGCTACTTTCGCCATTTTTTCAACCTTCGTTTAACTTCGTCTCAAGAAATCCAAGCAGACTTTAGAAATCCTGCTGAGGTACCTACTTAGCAGCTACCTAGCAGCTATTGTAGCAGATCCGATCCACATCAAAGATTGGCTCCTCAAACAAGGAGGCCGACGCCTGGAGACCGACTCGGAAGAGACCCTGCGGTTGAAGGCGCAGGGTGCCATGGCAGTTCAATGAACCTCTCCGGAACTCTCCAATGAAACCAGGAAATCCCTTCGACTTGCTGGATAATATGCTAACCCTACAGGTGTGCAGCTTTTTTTCAATGACTGTCTCTTCAACAGTGGTGCTGACTATCGTGAGTTCCTGGTGCTTTCCTGATATTTTGTTTCCCAGGCCCGCATCGATGTGTTGGAAGAAGCCTGGGCCCTTCGAAGTACCACAGTGGGACAGAGGGCCGAGGAGCGGACCATGATGGCCAGGGGTCTCTCATGTTACGCTGCACGGAATCCAAAACAGAGCTGGCAAGGAGTCCATTGCGCGAGTTGAGGAGGAGGCGCCTGAGCAGTTTATGTTTAAACTTTGAACTGATCAGCTTCGCAAAGATTGAACAAATCTGAGGTGAAGAAGATTTGGAGGGAGTTGTTGTCAAAGGAACGCCGTGAGCTGAATTACAATCATATTTTCACTTTATGAGTTTACAATTTGGATGTCCCATTCTTTTGACAAATTTGATTCTTTTCATTTCTTTTCCACTTTTTTGGCGTCCAAGGCAACCCATCCAAAGAGTCTGGACACGTCGAGGCCGTAGCGGTAGCCATCGATCCCCAGAGATCCAATGGGGATTGCTAAGCGGCTAAGCAGCTTAGCGTTTCGAATCTAGAAAAATATGATAAACATCATTAGACAACATTAAACAACATTAAACATCTACAGAAGATTGGAACATTGATATCATTGATATCATTGATATCATTGATATCATTGATATCCAATTACTGAATATCCCATTCATATCCATAGAATGGCAAAACCCCGGCAGGCAAGGCTCATTGAAGACCTGAAGCAACGGCTTGAAAAGACCCAAAGCCAGGTCGGCTGATCCCGGCTGATCCCGAAATGGGGTCAAAATCAAAACCCATGGGAATGTTCACATCAAAAATCATCAAAATAGCTGGTTCTTATGGATGGAAATGGATGTTCCATCCTCCTAAAAGATGTTTTGTACTTACATGTACTTACCATACTGTAGCTGAATGTAGCTGTTGACCCATCCGGATCATCCGCATGTCAAGAACTTGACAAGGGATGGTGCTTCTTGATGGACGATTTGCTCGCACTAGGGGGGCAGAGATTTTTGTGTGTTTCTGGAAGGTGGCTGAGTTGAACGCGCTCAAACCTGAAGATGTGGACTCCTTGATGAAAAAGATGATTGATGAGGTGTGCTCATGTGAGCACTTGGAAATGATGTCCAGCAGTTGTCGTGAAAGGTATACTTAAATCAAGAAATGTAACATTTGACATACTTAAATCAAGATAGAGCTGTGACCTCGTGAGATAGTATGCTGTATGTTGCAGAATCACTGGACATGAAGGAATCATTTGGAAATATTTGGAACCAACGTTTTTTTTTTGAAGCTCACGTCGTGTGTTCCCTTGGAGGTCGGTCATTCTGTGAAGCTCTTGGGGGACCGATGCTCGAAGCTGGAGGTCCAAGCTGAACTTGGTGACCAGCAAGATATGGAGACATGGATCAATAGCTATGAAAATAGCATTTTTAGTGGGACGAACATCCATAAATCCCAGCTATTTTGATGTGAACAAAAAAGGGGTACTATTGGTTTTGACACACTGCCATATGGAGACATGGGAATGGTACAGTGTTGTAGCATAAAAATTGGGAATGTGCAGAATGATGCGAATGTCAACCTCGCAGAGACAGCTTGTTTTTTCAGCTCAGCCAGGTGGAGCTTGCAACAATGCAGGCGACAGATGTATCCTCTCAGGCGGATCGGGAACGCACTGAACAGCTGGAGAAGATGGTGAGAGCCTCAACGCTGTCGAACCCAGACGTGTTTCTATTTCATCAAAAAAGAAACCCAGAGATGGTTTCCACATATGGGTTTGTCTGAAGATAGGGTAAGATATACCCCAAATCAACTGCTTCATTATCATATTTCCACAAATCAAACAATCACTTACCTCAAAAATTCATGGTGAATCATGGTCTACTCCATGCTCCAGTCAACATTTTCTCCATATTTTTTCATATTTTTTTCTGGAAAATTTTCTGAATCAATTCACGGTGGAACTTTCGCCATTTGGCGCGCAGCAGCAGCGGCATAGGTGGATCTATTGCTGCAGCAGCGGCGCCAGGATCTGCAGGAGAGCCAGGCCAACTTTCGAGAGGTCGAAGCCAGGCCCAAATGGGACCCGCGGAGTTCCATGGGGCGATGGGAGGAATCCTCCTGGTCAACATGAGAATATCATAAATGAATATAAATGATATATGGGGATCATCCAACTTGAAATCATCCCAATGAATCTCAACGATTTGTTATTGGTGTTTTTTTTGGGACGCCCAATTATTGGGGTGAAGTTGGAGAACTCGTCATGTTTTTGGCAGGTTGGATCGTACCAACTGTTGTCTCCATCTGTCCTGCAGGTTTCTTGATCTAGACCAGAGAGATCATGCAGAGGCGGAGATGAAAAATCGGGGGTTGTCTAAAACAATGGGTACTCAGGTACAGTTGCCTGGCTGGTACAGTATTGGTTTATCAGTTTATTATAATTTTCCCAATGAACACGGCAATTTTTTGTATAATGTTGTGGTGTTCCCCCCAGTTTGAGAGACAAAATTGAAAGATGCAACCCGATCATGTCCAGAAAAGCTGGCGCCAAGAAGCAGAGGACCGGGCTGCAACGCTGTGAGATGTGTGGTGCTGACACAAGACCACTCTGCCACAGGCCATTCGAAAGGAGATCCAAGAAGTGCGCTCAACCCACGTGCCTTCACTTTTCCAACAGCATTCCTGACATGTTTTGCAACATTTGTCGGTCTCGGTACGAGCCCAACCTGGCGTCATAGTTGTGCAGGGGCCCTTTGTTTGTTCACAGTTTATCAATTTTTTGTTTACAGATGGCACAGCGTGAGGCATATGAAGGCCATGAAAGCCATGCAAGAAGGGCTTGCAGCAGTCCGTGCAGAGGTCAAGAAGTGTGTTGCTCAGACACCGATGTGCTGATTTTGATTTGACAGAATGACCGCCACAGTTCTGTTTGAGGCTGAGCGAAGTGGTTGAAGCTGTTCAAGCCTCAAGCACACCTCGCGCAGAGGCACGGCTACAAAGTTGCAGCTGGCTGAACGTGCAGGTTGACATGGCCATATTCAGTGGCCGCAACTTCTAATCAAGGTCCTTTTTCTAGGGATTACATTCCCATTTCTGGGTTGCGAAGGGTCTGTAAGCTGTATTCTGCTAGGAATCTGGGCACCAAACTGATTGAGAGGGAAGCGACAATCTCCAAGTTGGGAACCTCATTCCGTCAAATGGTTTATATTTGTTCGTGACAGTAGAAATGCCATAAAGGGCCACAACTTCCCGCAGTTTGTAACAACTTTGTACCATGTTTCCCCCCCGGCAATTTCACCATATTTAAGATATTTAAGGCATATTCAGGCATATTTGACCATATTCCAATTTTTCGAGTCGCTGACCAGCAGCCAGGCCCAGGCCGATGGCTCCTCCCGGGAGGTCTTGGCATTGAAGGCTCAGGTCAGTGACCTCCAGGAGCAGGTGCCCGGAGTTACGAGTTACCCGAGTTACCCGCAAGTTATGGGTGGCCTTGGCGAACATGAAGGAAAACCCTGACAATTATGGGAAAACGTAGCAGCGTTGGATCTATTTGGACGGAATTGGGTCGATTAAATTTGGCTGTTTTGATATGTCTTAAATGATAAATGGGTGGTTTCGATGAGAGAAACGATGGTGGAACTGTGGAACCCAGGGGGTTTTTGGGGGATGCCACATTTTCAGATAACCCCTGATGTAGCAAGATGTTCCACCTTTAAGTGGAAACCAATCATGGGGGTTTGGGCCAAATCTCCAATTTCTGGCAACGGACCAAGGAGTTGGTTTCAAATCTTCCCCATCATTCATCATTCATCAATCTATTCTGTCTATTCTAATATTTTCCCATCATTTTCCCAGATTGACAGTGTTTTTTCATGTTTTTTATCCCCATCAAAAGCTCCATGGCACCAGGTGACCCTTCTGGTGGTGAGAGGTTTGGAAGAGCGCTTTGCCAACTTGCGCGCCGACGTCTCGCGCGAGGCCATCCCAATCGGTGTTTCTTTTCTGATTTTTGAGGCCATTGCTTCGACAATTTGGCAACGGTGAAGTTGATTTATCAATGTAGGTCACGGCAGCCGTGCGCGAGACAAAGGAGAACTGGGCAGGTCATGAGAATTTGGATGTTTGACTCAGACCTTTTTTGCACTTTTTGGATGCATTTTGTTCATTCTAACTTGCCATTCTTGTGCAGATTTTTTTTTTGCCAGTCGCATCTCGAAGACTCTCAGCTCTTGAGGCTCGGGGCCTAGTGGTTTCATTGGTTTCTGTGGAGACTTTTTGATGTGAATTTATTCCAATTCGGAACATCCAACCTGGATCAGGTTGATGATATTGATGGTGTTTGTTGAGGTTTGTTGACGTTTGTTCCAGTTTGCTCCCATTCTCAAATTGCATGTGGCAATTAGGTGGAGTGAGATCAAAACACCCATGACAATTTGCTGGAAGGTGTTTCATTTTTTTCATATTGTTTCATCATGCTAAGCTGCTATGTGATAATCTCACGACATCGCACGACTATATAAGGCACCCCGCTTTTTTGGGCTTCGCTATCACCGAATTGGTAAAATTGGGTAAATGGGGGAATGGTTGACTTTCTCAAATTCATCATTCATCATTTTTTCCTCAGTTCGACTATATTAGGAGTATACCAGTCAGTATACCCCATTATTTCCAGACTCGTCGTGCTTAGGCTTGGCCGGCCTCCCAAGCAGAGCTGAGCGCTGAAATGCAGTCCATGCGTTCAGAGCGACAGGAGGAGGGACCTGAGCATCAGAGGGTTCATGATTGGAATGGAACAACCACATGGTTTCCTGTAGATTTCCCTGAAGCCAATCCAATGATGATGTTCATGAAGATGTTCATGGTTCCCTGCTCATGTGGTTCCATTGTTTGGATTTATTTGGATTAATATACAAAAAATTGGGCACATTTTTGGGTGGTTGAGATTTACTTATTTTACTTCCTCTAGAACCCTGGATGGTGCGATACTACAAAGGAGCAAATTATGATTCTGCTGCCGTTTAAAGATGAGTGGAGTCACCAGATGATCCAGTGCTGAACATTCTATGGCCGAGTTGCCCAAGAGTGAAGCGAGCGACGCGTAGAAAGTCGGCCGCAGCGCGCGGCAAAGAGTCAGCTCGTCACCATGGCGATGGTGCCATGGCGTGTTGCAGGTGTTTTATTGGTGATTTGCAGAGCTGTCAGGCTGTGGGGTACATCTCCAAAGTGGGGGGATAGCCAGCGAAGAAAACGGGCACTTGGTGGCGCATTTCTAGGGAAACTGGGAAACCATCCTCCTTGGGGAGTGCAGTTTCAGGCCCTCTATGATGACCCTGCTGAGGACTATATGGTGGCGCAGGTCTATGGTGAGACCATTGAGAAAGAAATGAAGCAGCCTGGACTGAATGGAACACATCAACTGAAAAGATACAACAAATAAATACATTTGAACATGTCTTGGTAATTTCAGAATGCTTTTCGTTGTTTGGATCCGTTTGAGGCACTTTAAGAGAATCCGCGAAGAGCAGCTTGCGAAGAAGAGAGCTCAAGAAGAAGCTTTGGGCATTGCTGTCTTCTTCTCAGATCAATCTAAATGACTTGCAGCGGCCACAGCAGTGCTTGGGTGCTTGAGGCCAAGAACATTTTGACCCAGCCAAAGCATAAGTCGTCCCTTGGATGAACAGTATCAACAGCACTCATGTTGATGATCAGTTGAATCGGCTCATGTCCCACTGGGTCCCACTGGGCCTGAGGTGCCAAGTCTCTCAGCAACTTGTCCAGAGAGTGCTTGGATGGGCTTGGAATGCGAAGCTGCGATGGCCATGTTTTGCTTGAATCACATATACTTCCGCCGAGGCTGGAGCAATCCTTGGGCCACTTTCCCAATCCGCATCCGCATGATGGCAAGCCACGTCACTGGGACAGCAACTGGACCAATTGAAAAACTCGGATCCGCAGATGGCGAGGCACTTGCTGACTTTTGGTGATTTGCAGGACCTGATAGGACCTGATTTGGATAATTATCTGCCACTTGGGAAGACATCTGAAGTGCCAGATCTTTGAAGTTTCTGAGGCGTGCAATCGGATCCGCAGAAGATTCTGCGCTTTGGAGTGACTGGAGAAGGCCCATTAGTTCCAACAGCTGATGCAATACAACGACATTGCAGACAAGGAAGCAGCAAAGAGCAGAGTACATTTGGGTGCGCTCTCTGAAACCAGAATGGAGTCAGAGGATAAGCCGATTCAACTTGAGTACGGTAAATTTTGGGATGACTGGGATGCGAAGTTGATTGTCCGCAGGTCAAGGTAGAGGCTCCTTGGCTGCAGACGAATCTGGATTTGTAGAGCAGTGGACGACGGGTGGGGCGCCACACAAGGTGCCTATTTGAAGTTGGAGAAGACCAAAGGAGGTCCCATTGAAAGGCGGGCCTCCGTTATCATTTCCTGGACGGAGTTGTTCAACCAAAACAAACATTCTCAATGTCAACAAAAAGAGAGATGTGCATTTCATCAGAAACCATGGGGTAATTTCATGCAATTTCATCACCTCCTGGTTCCATCTCATTTCTGGACGCTTCAACATCTTCAACATATTCAAACATGTTAAAAAACCCAACTGGTGATCGATCTAAAGGTCCTTGTAAGGAGTTTTAATTCCCCAGCAGCAGAATGCTTTGGGGTCTCAGCCCACATAGCCTTCGGGGTGCTCCGGGGCACTGCTCGACCCTGCCGCCTCGTTTCGCCGGTTCCGGGAACCAGGGTTCCGAGAACCGGTTCCGGGAACCAGGGTTCCGAGAACCGGTTCCGGGAACCAGGGTTCGGGGCAAGGTTCCGGGAACCCAGGGTTCCGGGAACCAGGGTTCGGGGCAAGGTTCCAGGAACCCAAGGTTCCGCAAACCAGACTTTCAAGCAAGGTTCTGGGAACAATGGGTTCTGGCTACCTTTTGGGTTCCGGGACGTCAAGGTTCCGGGAAGGTTCCGGGCACACTTGGCTTTCGACAAGGTTCCGGGAACCTTACCATGGTTTCGAGCAGCCAGAGCCTGGATTGTGCCAAAGTTCTGGAATCACCGGAACACCAATTTTGAGACATCCTGCAAACCCAGAGTTTGGGGAACCAGGATTCTGGCAAGGTTCCAGCAACACTGGGTTCCGACAAGGTTCCGAGAACCACCACAGATGCGGACCCACAGTTTGGATATACTTCCTGGATTATGCCACAGGTTCCGGACAGGGACAAGGTCAGAGTTCTGGCAAGGTTCCGAGGTTCCGGAAACAACCCAGGGGTCGGATATACGCCGTGGGTTGTACCAAGGTTCATGCTACGGACAGGGTCCCAGAAAACCAATTTGCAAGGAAACCAAGGTTCCAGGACCAAAAGGGCCCGGTCAACGGGCAATCGCTGACAGGGGGGGGACAGCGTGACAATAAATCAGCGCGTCTCGGTTCCGGAAACCCAGGGTTCCAATATACGCTGTGGGTTGCGCCAAGGTTCCGGAAACGAGGGTTCCAGGAAGACAAGGTTCCAGGGACACAAGGTTCCAGGAACACAAGGGATTCCGGAAATCCCCCAGCCAATCTTGGGTGCTTTGTGGCCCCTCACTGAATTCCGAATTCATGTTCGTTTGCTCAGTGGGCGCACAGTGTCGGTCGACTGACCTGTTCTGATGTTGCTGTAAAATCTTCTGTTTGAACTGTTCCGATGTCGCATCTACCAAAGCACATGCCACATCAAGCAATTAAGTTCGATGCCTTGGAACACCTAAATATTGGCAGCAAACCTGTGTGAGGCTTCTCGAAGCCAGGTAGATGATTTTTTGAAGCTAAGTGACCAAACAGCAATACACAATGAAACTTCAGACACAGTTGTGACACAACAACCAAGTATTGACATGAAACTAATTCTGGAATCATGATGGACAATTTGGCCAAAACCAACTGTTTCACCAATCACTTGCGCAAACTGACCGATGTTGTCCAAGCACGACAAGATAATCCCAAACCAACACACACACACAATTTTGTAAACACTTAATGACACACCGTGGTCTGCAAATACTGCCATTCGTTTGTAACCAAATGTATGTAAATTCAACTATGCGCGCTTTCTTAAAGAACATGTCTCATCCTGCCTTTGGTCCAAAAGGGGAGGGGGCAAGGCGGGCAAAAAATCGCCGAAGAGACTTAGGCTATGGAATCCTGTTCCTGCCATCATTAATCCGTCTTGGGTTGCAAAGTTGGACCACTGTTTGAAACCAACCGCTGCCGGTTCCGGGAACCAGGGTTCCGGGCAAGGTTCCGGAACTCAGGGTTCCGGGAACCAGGGTTCGGGGCAAGGTTCCAGGTTCCGCAAACCAGACTTTCAAGCAAGGTTCTGGGAACAATGGGTTCTGGCTACCTTTTGGGTTCCGGGACGTCAAGGTTCCGGGATCCCCAGGTTCTCGGCGCCAGGAAGGTTCCGGGCACACTTGGCTTTCGACAAGGTTCCGGGAACCTTACCATGGTTTCGAGCGGTTCTGGAATCACCGGAACACCAATTTTGAAACATCCTGGAAACCCAGAGTTTGGGGAACGAGGGTTCCGGCAAGGTTCCAGCAACACTGGGTTCCGACAAGGTTCCGAGAACCACCGCGGATGCGGACCCACAGTTTGGATATACTTCCTGGATTATGCCACAGGTTCCGGACAGGGACAAGGTTGCGGAACAACAATTTTCAAGAAGCCCAGCCCAGGTTCCAGAGAACCAGGGTTCTGGCAAGGTTCCGAGGTTCCGGAAACAACCCAGGGGTCGGATATACGCCGTGGGTTGTACCAAGGTTCATGCTACGGACAGGGTCCCAGAAAACCAATTTTCAAGGAAACCAAGGTTCCAGGACCATATAGGCCCTGTCAACGAGCAATCGCTGACAGGGGGGGGCACAGCGTGACAATAAATCAGCGCGTCTCGGTTCCGCAAACCCAGGGTTCCAATATACGCTGTGGGTTGTGCCAAGGTTCCGGAAACGAGGGTTCCAGGAAGACAAGGTTCCAGGAACACAAGGGATTCCGGAAATCCCCCAGCCAATCTTGGGTGCTTTGTGGCGGGTTCCGCACATGCCGATTCATGTTCGTTTGCTCAGTGGGCGCACAGCGTCGGTCGACTGACCTGTTCTGATGTTGCTGTAAAATCTTCTGTTTGAACTGTTCCGATGTCGCATCTACCAAAGCACATGCCACATCAAGCAATTAAGTTCGATGCCTTGGAACACCTAAATATTGGCAGCAAACCTGTGTGAGGCTTCTCGAAGCCAGGGAAATAATTTTTTTAAAGCTAAGTGACCAAACAGCAACACACAATAAAACATCAGACACAATTATAACACAACAACCAAGTATTGACATGAAACTAATTCTGGAATCATGATGGATAATTTGGCCAAAACCAACTGTTTCACCAATCACTTGCACAAACTGACCGACGTTGTCCAAGCACGACAAGATAATCCCAAACCAACACACACACACAATTTTGTAAACACTTAATGACACACCGTGGTCTGCAAATACTGCCATTCGTTTGTAACCAAATGTATGTAAATTCAATTATGCGCGCTTTCTTAAAGAACATGTCTCATCTTGCCTTTGGTCCAAAAGGGGACGGGGCAGGGCGGGCAAAAAATTAGGCTATGGAATCCTGTTCCTGCCATCATTAATCCGTCTTGGGTTGCAAAGTTGGACCACTGTTTGAAACCAACCGCTGTTGGGGATCTACGTCGGCTTATTTTCAACAAGACTTAGTTCAAATAGGTGAGGCTAGCACCTCAGTGAGGTGCTAGCCACAGCTATTTGAACTATGTCTTGGTGGAAGAATCTGGAAATCAAGCCTGGCTAGAAGTTCAAGTGATGCTCTGAGCCTCTGTGGCTCAAGAACTTCAGTTTCACAATCCTTACTTCTAGCCAGGCCTCATTTCCAGATTTTTCCACCAAGACATAGTTCAAATAGCTGCGGCGAGCACCTCGCTGAGGTGCTAGCCAAGAATCTTGGTTCTTGGCGAGAAATTTCACAATCCTTACTTCTAGCCAGGCCTGATTTCCAGATTTTTCCACCAAGACATAGTTCAAATAGCTGTGGCTAGCACCTCACTGAGGTGCTAGCCAAGAATCTTGGTTCTTGGCGAGAAATGTCAAAAACTTCGCCGCGGCGAGATATTCAAAACCTCGCCACGGCGAGATATTCAAAACCTCGCCACGGCGAGATATTCAAAACCTCGCCGCGGCGAGATATTCAAAACCTCGCCGCGGCGAGATATTCAAAACCTCGCGGCGGCGAGATTTTCACAACAAGGATTTTGTATTTTGATTTTAGTTTGTTTTGAATATTTTGTGGCAACCTCATTCCCGGCAGGGCACCATGCTGAGCCTGCGATTGGACCCGGAGCTAGATATGTCCTCTGCAGAGTATGTCTACCAGGTGAACCTCTTGTGGTTTGATGATGGCTCCTTGAAAGGCCTGGCTTGCTTCATGAATTTGATCGGCCTGGTGATCTTAGACCAGCAGGGAAGCTTCGGGCCGGATGACTTTTCTCATCCTCGGGCGAAGATTCTGATTGAGTCAATGTTGCAGATCGCCACGATTTACAAGAGCCAATCAGGGACGGGCACCTTTCTGGATTCACAGCTGACAAGAGTGGTGAAGCAGAATCAGGACGCAGCTGCGCAGCCCTTGTCTTCCTTCGGATGGGCATGCCTGCTCAATCAAATGGGTGCTGCTGGGACAGACGATGGGATGAGTTTTGATGAAGCCCTTGCGCTGTACAATGCACATCCCCTTGTGCAGCAAGCAGGAGATGCACTTGATCCTGGGTCTTTGGTTTAACCTGATTATGAATCAATTGTAGGTACTGCCACCAGCTACCCTTAATTGTATCTTTGAAGATATTTGAAAGAATCTCTATGGTTGCATCCCAGGACTCGACTGGATCGGGGACTGTGAAGTTGGACAACAAGAAGACCACCGCAATCCGTAATTGGATGGAGCGATGTAGCCCGGAAAGCTTGGCACTGGTGGAGAGCACGCAACATGATGTGCCGTTCAGTGCCGGTCCCTTTGGGGAACCCTTGTCGCAGATTCCATGGCTTTTCCTCGGAAGCACCAGTCCAACACAGCTGACAGCCTCAGCAACCTCAGGTCTCGCCCCGCTTGACGGTGAGCAGACAGTCACCGTGGACTGGGAGCTTCCCTTGACGGAATGGGGCCAATTCTTGCTGTTCTCGCGGATCATCTCCGACTTCTCGGCGGCAACAGCACTGGTGGAGGTGAAGTCGAAGAAGAGGTACAGGGCGAAGGAGGCGGATTTGATGCAGATCAGAAATCTCATAGCCCTTTGGACTCAGATCCGTGGTTTGTGTCAGGCGGGCAAGATGGACATTCAGGAGTTCGAGAAAAAGCTGGTGAAGGGCAACCACGTGGATGAGGAGGTGCAAGACGTTCTTCTGCAGCGTCCAAGGGCCTTTGCCTTGAGCATGATGCCTTCACAGAAGCAGCACATGCAGCAAGTGGCTGAAACCAGAGAACAGGCGATGCTGGGAGAAGTGGAGCAGCAACGCCTTGAAGTTCGCCATGCCAAGTTTGATTTCCTGAAGAAGGCATTGAAGCGAGACCAACTCCAGCTCACGAGGATCCAAGCCGCTCCAGCCAAGCTCTCTGCTCTTCAGAGCAGAACTGAGGCCGTATGGCGGGAGGAACAAGCAGCGCTGGGTGAACGAGCAGTGCACAATTGGTGTAACAAATTCTTGAGGGTTGTCGAAGTGGAGAAAGCGGATTTCGCCACTGGACCTATGATCGAGTATTTGAATTTCCTTGTGACTTGATTTTCATTAGTGACGATCACTTTGCAGTTTGCAATGCTTTTGATGTCTTGTGTCACTGCAATTTCCAGGGAAAGTTATTGTGATAACTGAACACAGACAATCTGAAACCAGTCTGTGCTGTCGAGTTCCAAGGCCAAGCTTCACAACGTTCCTGTTGACCAAGTTCACATCGTCTGCTTCTGTGACTTCAATCACCCTCAAGCCTCTGCCAAAGCTCGAGTTGCAGATCTTGCTCGCCTGTTTCAGTCATGCTGCGAGATGAGCCCAACCACATCTGTGGGAATCTGCGACTTTCCAGAAGTTCCCAAGGCCAGCAGCAAGCGCGGGCTTGCAGATGAAGAGAATGACATTCAGGTGACATTCTGGGCGCAAAAGCTGAACATCGACACCCGCTTCATCTTGGCCTACGATCTTCCACCAGCAGGCGAAGCCTTGACGAAGCGCAGGCGGGAGTGATTTGGCTGGTGCTGCTGCAGTCGTCAGGGGTATTTTTGAAAGAATCAATGAGACATCTTATTAGTGAAAACATAGCGTTGGCCACCATTGCCATGGCACATCAAAAAACGTGGGCTCATCCACCCTGCACTCAGACTCTCGCTTGCAGGCGATTCAGCATGGGGAGGTTGGTTGCGGACGGAGCCACCATTGAGGAGAACATTTGGATCAACGCTTCGGAGCTCAGCATAGCTGGCCGACCGCTGACCAATGAGCGTGTGGTGCTGCCAAGGCAGCGAGACCTTGTTCTGCCGGAATCCACTGACGCTTCAGCAGACCTGCGCACAGCAGAGCGCCAAAGGCCATCACCTGAACAACTCCGAGCACAAAAGGGCAGGAAGCGCCTTCAGACGATGCTCGCATCCCTGATGAATGTGTCGGAGTACCAGTTCGGAAGCAGGCCAGTTTGCGTGGTGAATTTCACCCCTTACGTCGAAGATCTCGGTCTTTGCGTTGCTTGTCCAGATTGGGTGAAGGCACGATGATAGAACCATGATCTAATTCCAAAAAAATCTTTGAACGACAAGATTTTTGGTTCAGTGTGCCAGGTTCTGGATTTGAAGACAAGTCCTCCATCTGCAAGTGGATTCGACTATCGCAACAAGTTGCATTACATTGGCATCCATTGGATGGACAAGGCCGACTTCGGCAGGATGAGAGTGGTCAGGGAAGTTTTGGAATCCTGGATGGATGGCAAATTGAAAATTTCCGGCTTTGATTTCCAAAGCGTTCCTCCAACGGTGCCACAAGAGCAGATCTCTCTGATTCCCGGGGCGGATATCGCCATGGGCAGCTTTGACAGACTGGCGATGGAAGTTCTTGTCCGGGAAGGCGCCAGCATTGTGCTGAAGCCTGACGAGATCCGATATTGGCGTTCCATCAACGATGAATTCTTGGAAGAGTTCGAACAATTGCTGAAGCACCACAATGAGCAGTACTCCCAATGCCACTCACTGCATTGAACTCAACCCTTAGACTTTTATTGGCAATCAGTGGGTTTTGTTTTTGTTAGGTATGAACATTAGCAAGTGTGCGCTGACCAAGCGCCGTCTGCGCTGAACAAGCGCGCAGCTTCTATGCCCTAATTCAACCCTCAGGCTTTTATGTGGCAATCAGTGATTTTTGTTTTTGTTAGTCTTAAAGTTTGCGCTGACCAAGCGCAGTCTGCGCTGAACAAGCGCGCGGCCTTTATATTTTCCGACTCTGCCCAGGCCTCTCTTCTGTGCTCTCCTCGGCTGGTGGCACTATGAGTGCTGAGAATCCTGTTCAAGATCAAGACGGTGGTGCCGGGCAAGGCAACAACAATCCTGCCCCGGAGGTGTTTGAGAGCTTGGAGAAGCTGAAGGAGACGGACCCTATCGAAGAATCAGTTCCCTCAGAAGTGAGTCATGTGACCATGATCCGGTCGAAGTCAGGATCTTTGTACCTGATGCTGGAGGCTGACCCGGCAAACTCAGGTGCCAGAGAAAAGATTCTCCCTCGCAAGATGCAACTTGGTGGATACGGCAGTGGCACATACTCCAAGGCTGAAGACGCTACCCCTGGGGTCGATTTCAAGATGGATCGTGGAGATGCCACGGTGTGCCAATTCGATGAAAGCAGCTTGAAACCCGAGTCGACCAACATTGAAGCCTGGAGTTTGTACAAAATGGTGACTCAGGTGGAGAAGTTCAAGCGCCTTGCAAAGGTGAACGTGTCGTTCATGAAACTGACGAGGAAGCAAGATGAGGCTTCTTTGGACGGCTTCCAGGTGGAGATGACTGCGAAGATGAAATACCAACCCATCACCGCACAGAGGGACCTCCAAAAGCCAGCCACATGCAAGAACTTCTTCAAGTGGTTCACTGGGGAAAAGGCCAAGGCCATCGACGAGTCGCCTTACATCATGACGGCATTCCGCTTCAGATACGAGGGAGTCGGAACCAATCTCAAAGTCCAGAAGCCGTACATGCTGACGAAGGTTGGCATCAAGCTTGAACTTCAAAAGCCAGTCAAGGCACGGCTTTGAAAACATAATCATAATATCAATCCTCGGTGTGTTTTGCTCAAAAGAGAATTTCAAGGATTTCACATGCCAGTCCTTGCAGGTGGCCTGAGATGACAGCATGCGGCTGGCACTTTTGATGATTTCATGTCGGCCCCTGCATCAACTGAAATGCTCGGCCTTAGGAGCTCTGAGTTATCAGAGCCGCTAGTTTCAGTGACCCAGGAAACTTGCCACCTGTGATGATTCAAAGTCCCACTGATTGAATTTTGCACCAATGGTTGGCACTGAGCCATATGTTTATTGGTTGGTGACCCAAAATTAGTGGCAAGCAGGGGATGGGTGCTGACGTGCGGATTTTGATGATGAACATTGCAGATAGGCGCATGTGGCATGTTACATTGAATATTAATTTCAGTTGGGTTCGACTGCAAATCATCCACAGAATGATGTTGCCGCATGCATGCTGCAGTGATGATAGGGATTGAAGCTGGGCACGGCATTTGATGGCATTTGCCTCAGCCGTGGCAAGATTGATGCAAAAGGTCGCTGGCGTAAAGCCGCCATGACAGTCAGTCTTTGATCCGGAGGCTTTTGTTGGTTCCATGGACGGAATGTTATTTTCAAGCTTGTAGCCGCATTCAGAACTGGGTGCTGTTGATTGACGCAGGATTGGACGATATATGCTGCATTTTTGAAGCATTGGGTGCTCAAAGCAAAAGATTTCTTGTTGCAAGTTTTGCGCCTGACGCTCTTGCCATGTTCGACATTCAGGCCACGATCCGAGCAAGGCTGGAAGCTGGTCCGAACCCAGCTTCGGGACATCCAGCTCCCAGCGCTTCAGCCCCTCCAGGGCGTTCAGCTGCCATTCCTGCAGCATGCACAGGCCAGGGCAAGGCTCTTGCGGATTCTTCCGAGCGTGAATCTCAGCCAGAGAGATCGCCAAGAGCATTCTCTGAGGCCGGAGACGATTCTGAAACGCCGAGGCCCAAAGCTCATCCTGTGCCGAAGAAGCCCTTGAAGGGCAGAGGAAGGGGCAGAGGTGGCCATGGACGTGGCAGAACGAAGAAGGAGCACACTGATGCCACCGCACCTGCCACAGAAGGCAATGGAGGAGAGAATGGTGAAGTTGATGAACCCGAAGATGATGCCGATGCGACTGTCCTGCCACTGGAGCCTAAACCCAAACCCAAGAAAACCAAGGACATCAAGAAAAGGCCTGCTGCTTCGACCAAGGCAGCCATGGAATGTGATGCTGGGATGAAAAAGCCTGCTGCGTCGGTGGAGAAAAGCCTGGAGCCCGAGACTGTTGAGGTTGACGGTGGCGACAAGGAACCGGGCAGTGCTTTGAAGCGACCTGGTGCGAAACTTGGATCCACGCCACAGGCCAAGGTCAATGTCAAGCATGCGAAGAGGGAGAATGAGACCAAGAAGGAAGTTCGCGTACTCAAGTCTGGGTGGAAGGCGGGCTTTGGAGAAACCAAGATTAGACTCAAGTCTCAATGTTCTGACTGGACTGTTTGTAATTCAAACTAAACAAGACCCGTTTAAAGGCAGTCAGTCCAGGGTCCATTGATTTTTACTTCGTCAGTTCTGTGGCAGGTCAACAAGTTTATTTGCAGTCACCGCAGCAACTACTACAGCTACCAGTCCCCGGATGGCACAACGTTCTATTCCAAGCGCCAAGCAGAAGCTGAAGGATTTGTGGATGAATGAAGAGTGACGTTTTCACAGTTTTGATCTCTGATTGCCGCACCTGAGATGGTAGGAAAACTCATTGAGTTTGCCCGTGGGAGAAAAAATGCAGCTGACATTCCGCGCTTGTTCAGCGCTGAACAAGCGCGTCCCGGCGCTGAACAAGCGCTGTTAGCATGATGTAAGGCGTTCGTCGTTTTTTTGGTTATATAACTTGAATGGCAACCAGTGTCTCCGACTCCACAATCCACAACCTCCTTGCCCAACAATGCCTGCCTGGAGGCTGCCACAGCCGTTGCCACTGCAGCGGCCTTCCCGGAGGGGCACAAGGTTGGGAAGGAATGGGAATGGGCACTGCGCAAAAAACAAGTTGGATGATTCAACTTTAATGTTTTCGTGGACAGCGTTTTGGACATCAAAAACTATGCCACCACTTTGGAGCTTGCCAAATCATTAGGCAAGATTAGTCTCCATTCTATAGGCACTGATCATAGATATGAGGGGTGGTTTTGGTCTAGGAATAGTGTTCGTTGATTATTTCATGTGCTTTCCCCTCTCAATTTCTCGATTCTATAATGGGTTTGTTGGGGTTGGATATTGAACCCAAAAGGGGGTCATACAAAAAAGTCCACCAGGGGCACTTTTTTTTTCTCCAGGCCAGGGGAGAATCGTTGCGATTTGAAACCTGTAGTCACCAACTGTGCCATAGTTTAAACTTGAGTGCCAAGCATGGCAGGGAGAATCATGTCTGAAATCATCAAAATCATTTTAGAATTCAGCCCAAATAGACGACCACAGGTCTTGGAGCTTTGCATTCTGACGTAGGTTAGTTGCCGCTTGCTCCTCTGTGATTTTGCCATACCCAGACCATACTTTGTTGGATGCAATCCGAGCAAATGTTTTCCCCACTTCTTGAGGGACATTTTGGGACTTCAAATCATTGATGCACCGGTGACGGGCTGAATGTGAGCGAATCTTGTTGACTTTCACTGCAGTCACATCTGGGGGTACAAAGCTTTTGCGCGCTCGGCGAATAGCAGCCGCAACGGTGTCCTACAAGGGTAAGGTCAGCAACTCCAAGCATTTGTTCAAAGTAAGTTAAAATCAAAAGAATGGTTACAATGCGTTAATTCATCATATTGCTGATGATGACTAGTTCTGGTCATCCATCCTTCCCAGGGTTAAAACGTAAATACGAACCATTGTCCTTAGACATCCGTCCCAACTCGTTGTCTGACCGCTTCGGGGGGAAGAAGTACTGCTCTGGGGTAGCTGGGTAGTACCACCTGTCTTCAAAGGTTCTGATGCCATTTTTTCCCCATTTCCGTGTGTAAGAGAAAGATACCCCACCATCATTCTTCCACTTGTCTAAGAACCGGCGCAGGGTGGCTGAGATTGGTTTCATAATGGCCCCGCGTCTCTTGAGTGCCTTGACATTGATCCGGTTGTTCTCATAGTCGACATCTTGCAGCTGCATTTGCAGAATCTCAGTCACCCTGCAGCACAATAGATGGCACATTGTAAAGATGATGAATAACCACATGGGGCCCACACGAGCCACATGAGACATCCAAGCTGACCATGCCGTCCCTGTCAAGGAATCAGCTTGGCCCCGTTTCAGATTGTCATCCTTCTTCACTTGTTTGTTTTTTTTGACCCGTTTGCCTTGCTTCATTGCCTTTGGCTGAAGATCACCATCACGACGAAGATTTTTCACGTCCTTTTTCTTTGCCATGAGCAGCAAGCTTCTAAAAGATTACGATTGGTTTGAGCCGATCCCTGGTGTGAATGGACAAGATAACCACGGGAAATACAGGGTATTTTGTGCGTTGTTTGTTTGAGAAACCAATCTTTGAGTGTTTGGCCCATAAAGCTTACTTTGGACATTTTCTGTTTCAGATGATGATGGTGATGATGATGATGATGATGATGGTGATGCTGATGCTGATGGTGATGATGATGATGATGAGGTGATGATGTTGTTGATGATGATGTTGATGATGATGTTGATGATGATGATAATGATGACGAAGATGGTGATGATGATGATGGTGATGATGATGATGATGGATATGATGATGATGATGATGATGATGATGATGGTGATGGATATGATGATGATGATGATGATGATGATGATGATGAATACGATGACGATGACGATGATGATGATGACAATGATGATGATGATGATGATGATGATGATGGTAACGACGATGACGACGATGACGACGACAACGACGAGATGATTATGATGATGATGGTGATGATGATGATGTTGATGATGTTGATCATGGGGTTTCTATCGTCATGTGCAACAGGTTCAACCCACCAAGAAAATCGCAACGTTTGGATCCGACATTTGCTTGCATGTTCTGCCGGCAATCTTGTGACGAGGATGATGATGATTCTGTTAGGAAAAGCCATTGACAAGCCAAACTTGTCATCAAATGCCACGTCAAAGAAACAGCCTTGCAGAGGAAGCCTTGCAGAGGACACCGTTGCCGGTTTTGAAAAGTGACAAACAGTAACACGCCTACATGCCCATTTGGCGCGCTCCCGCCTGCGAAAAGCGGCTTGCGGCTTAGGAAAAGCGTGCTGCCACCTGGCAAGAGCGAGCAACCGGGCAAAAGAAGCGATCTGCCAGCCCCATAAACGCCCAACAACAATGTAACTGTAGCTCGTCGCCTCCAAAATTTAGTAGCCCATACATAGCCTATAGCCCCGAGCTTAGATATTACTCAGCGCTTGTTCAGCGCCCCAACGCATTTTTCAGCGCGCCGCCCCACAACAGCCCCAGCGCTTGTTCAGCGCCCAACCCCAGCGCTTGTTCAGCGCCCTAGCCATAGATGATATTAGCTATTGAGGGTATACTGTGCTGCGTGGACGAACAACACTTGTTCAGCACGCGGGACGCTTGTTCAGCGCATGGGACACTTGTTCAGCGTCAAGGGTTTTTGACTCAATTCAATGATGTCCAACATGTGCCAGCAGGCCTATGACATCCTATGACAACATCCTGGCTGAGAACTCCAAAGCCTCAGACTCGGCAGCACAGCCAGTTTACAACTTAGAACCTAGTATTAGTGCTATGCGCACTGCGCTGAACAAGCGCACATGGCGCTGAACAAGCGCATGAAGTAAATCATGGGAGGAACGGTGACAAATCGTTGGAATTTTGAAAACTTCAAATTCTAATGTCCCTGCCAACACCAGCAGTCATTCCCATAAATTTATGGAATCACAACACCAGCGGCTCCCAGGACAAACCGCTTTGTTTCGCACCTCCATCCCTTGTCGTCAGCAGCCTCAGATGCAGCAGTTTTCAGGGAGGCACGGGTAGAGTAACAGGATCATTTCTATCCAAGAAATCATGCGATACTTTGAAACTGACAGCTTTGTTGTGGTTATTATGAACCATCGCTTGGAAAACCATGGTGCTATGGTTGACATGTCGAACATTGAATTTGAAGGTATCAATAGACATGGGGCCGGACGGCCAGCTTTGTCAGTTGATCTTCGTCATTCGTTGCTGCTCAAGAAAAAAGTCTTTTGCCAGACATTGTCGCTGTTTTCAACACCACATAACAATGTAACAAAGCTGATATTTATACCATTGTGGTTTGCAATAATTCCCATTAAGTGAGAGGCCAATGGGTTAAAGGACAAAACACTGGCAGCAAAGGCTATTTACACGTTATTTTCCGAAGACTTTTGCACAATACACGCGCTGCGCCGGCCAGCCATGCCCTGGTGCTTCTACAAGGGGGATTGGCGAAAGGTGGAGAAGTGGGAAGGTGAGAATTGGGTGAAGGTGAATGGCAGGTGGGAAACCATCACCGCACCGGTCAACTTGCCTGACCCGTTGAACGTTGGCCCACCCAGCACAACCCCGGCACCTGGAGAAGTGGCCATGTCCAAGCCCTTCTCCATCCTGCATGCAGCACCGCCTGGCCCTTGTAGCCCACCACCACCAAAGCAAGCAGAGCCTGCACCGAAGCCTTCCCCACCTGGCAGCCCTCCTGGAGCAGTGCCAGATGGCAGCAAGTCAAAGCCCCCCGGCCAGCACTGTGCTGGCCCTGCAAACAAGACCGGATCCCCAGCAAAAGCAGGCAACCCTCGCCTACCACAACCTCTAAACAAGCCGGGATTGGCAAAGCCTCCTTCGGCTGCCACACCTGGATCTGTGCCAGCAAAGCCACGGCCAGCAGGCAGTAAACCTCCACCAGAGCCAGCAGTCCCACCTGGGAAGAGCCCGGCACCTGACCAACCAAAGCATGCGCCAGCTGCTGCACCTGCTAGCAAGCCACCGCCAGGAGATCCAGCAACCAACAAAAGCACAGCAACGACGCCAGGGACCAGTGCCACACCGAGGTTTTTGCCTCCAAGAAGCAAGCCTGCACCAATGCATCGACCTCCGCCGCCTTTCACCAGCCCCAGCCATCCAGAACAGCCTCCTCGTGCAAGTGTGCCGCCAGCATCAGTGGCCCCGCCGCTTCCACCTCCACCACCACCACCTCCACCAAATCCAAAGCCAGTCGCACCAGGACCAGTGCCACACAAGCCAGGCCCAGTCAACCCCACTCCCAAGCAACACAGGCCACACATGCCATCTGCAATGGGGGTGCTCCTGACATCAGGGCGGACGGTGAATCAGCTGAACCCGGGCTGCACACCTCACCGCCCCCATGGTGGTTCAAGGGAGCGCCGCATCATTAGACATGCGGTGCAGCACCTGCAGAGATTTGCCTGTGACACGGCAGTGTGGGCTGAGAAGAGGGACCGTGACGCCCAGCAGATCAACACGTTCAGCCACCAGACGCGCGCGTCGCTTATGCAGATGCAGCAGAACCTCTCCTCGGCCCAGGCCGCACAAGACCCGGAGGAGATGAAGAAGGCGGTGCGAGACGAGGTCATGGCGGAGGCCAGGGCCGCTAGTAGAGTTTGCCATCATCAAATTGTTGCATCAGACACCAACTGACTCTTCAAGCTGATTAAGAAAACACTAGCTGGGATTGGGC